TCTTCCATGTCGCTACCCCCGTGGCTTTTTCATCCAAGGACCCGGAGGTGAGTGACAGACTCCATTACCTTCTTAACTTTTCTGAAACCTGTAAAGTACTTGCAACGAGTCCAGAGATTGAAACTTCTATCTAGAGACATTCCACCAAAAAATCCCAGATCAAATGACAAGTCATTGATCATGGGTTCTATTGATGATTTTCTTCTCTTCTTACTTTTTTAACATAACCATCAAAGTTCAATGATTCTTGTAGAAGGAACCAGGTAGTTGTTATGTTTGTGTTATGCTTCTATACTTCTTTTTTGGGGTTCCCGGCGATCGGTAGCCAAAAACAAAGATAAACCGAAAAAGGGTAAGAAGGAAGTTTCTCTAATTTTCTTCTTCAAAATCACCATTTCATCATCAATAGGTGTTCAAATTCCCTAGCAATAGGAAGTATTTATATTTACACCGGAAACAACTAGAGCTTTGAAGGTTCATGAACAGAAAAAAGTAATTGATTTTAATGTAAACAACCCGATCAGACTCCAACCAAAATACGGTTTCTTGAATGATGAATTGCAGCAAACTACCATGCCACCAAGTAAAATTTCGCCAGTGAGAATGGAATGGGGGAAGGAATTAGCCTGACAAATGGGGGGAGAACCACAGAAGGTAATTGCTCAGTTTATCTTAAGAAAATTTGTCAGTAGCTGGGGTTAGTCTCAACTCTATCTTAAGGGGAAAGACAGAGGAGTTGCCACGGCTATCAGTCAATCTATGACACATAAGAGAAGGGATGATGTAGTTGCCATTGGCTATCAGTCATCTTGCTTCCTAGTTACTTCTGTGTTAGAAGCTTTCTAGCTACTTCATTCCTAAATAAATAACCCTCTTTCTACTTTCAATATTCTCTTCAATACGAGGTGGAGACTAAATCATTTTACTTCATATTCTACTTCTAACCAACAGATAAGGAAACAAAAAAATCTGAAACAAAAGTAAACCAGAATCTACGCTCAACCTATTTGCACTTCCATGTATTTTTTTACCCCAGTCCAAATGAAATTGGCAGCGCAAATAAGCTGAGCCTTACCCAGAGACAGTGGGATCTGAAAGCTCTACATTGAATCAGAATCATGTTCTATGTAATTTCAGGAATTGGATTTAACAGATGAAGAACATGCAATTAATCCCTACTCTTTGCTAAATACGGACTCTGTATCATTTTATTCCTTCTTTTAGTTATCCTTATTTCAATCCACACTTTTCCTCCACTAGTCTCCAACTTTCCTTTATAAAGTGCATATGCATTGATAAAGTGCAATATTCTCTTTTATCATGGTCTATCTGTACTTTCCCTTAAATGCTTCCATCCTCCCTCATTCCAGCTCATGCTCCTTTTGCTTAAAAAGCGTCATTACATAGTATTAATGGGGAATTCTAGCTACAAATAATAGGTATAGGAGCCTCTGGTTATGCAACCAGATGATCCCACTCAAAATATACCTTCAACCAAGGGAGGCTAAATCGATCTTTTCGATCAGGTTCTCCCTTTAGTTTGTTCAAATAGGGATGGCAATGGGGTGGGTTTCTGGAGGGTTTTGTAAATTCTAGACCCTACCTGCCTCCCTAAACCTCCCAACTCGTACCTGCCCTAAAACTTGTAGTGGGTTGGATTTTGAGAATCCAAACCCTCCCTGCACATGAAAATGCAAAACCCCCCTGACCCTGTCCTCCCCACATTCAAGGGTAGGACGGGTTTGGTTTAGAGCCCACATTTAAATTTTTATTATATATAAACAATAAATAAGTAAAATAAGACAAACAAACAAAAAGATTCTGATATTTGATTAAAACATGTAAAAAACACATGAACTATCAATTATCCTTCACATAAAATTCAAAATATTATTAAATTCAACACCTAATACATAAAGTTTATATGCTTTACAAAATTATGCGGGTCGGGTTTAGCCTAATACCGTACCCTATCCATTCCCATACAGGTGGTAGAATCCCAAAACCCATCCTTCAAGCAAACAAACCCGTCCCATCTGGGCGGGTACCTAGAGTTGACATAAAAAATACAAATCATTTCCTTTTGAGTATTTGTTGTCCTTGAATGGCTGAACAAAGGACAATGGTACCTGACCACAAACACCTTCATCCAAGCAATGTGGAACATTATTTCCTCATTCATATTACATCTTTACATAGCTCGAGTCCTGATAAGCTGCATTTGATGGCTGTGTTGGTGTCTGTTTAACCATTAATAACACCCTGCAACAGCCATCAAGTGTATATACCTCACAAGGACTACAAAACTCCTCTCACCCATGGCTATCTTGTGGTGTTATTAGTTTTTCTCAACAGCCCTTAACACAGCCATCAAGTGCAGCTCATTTGGCCTCCAAACTCATGCCCTGATCCCAACTAGTTAGTTAGGATGTGTTCTTGAGCATGGGCCTAACTTCAAAAGAAAAGAACAGAGAGATAGAGAGTGGATAAGGCCAAAGTGGGCCTCAATAGTTGGCTGGGTTCAGACTGCAGAAAAGGTGCACTTTGAAAATTAATGTTTATAATGTTCTTGTTCTTTGCAGAATGAACTGATAAAGCCAACTGTTAATGGGTGCTGAACATTATGAGATCAGGTGTCAAGGCGAAAACAGTTAAGAGGCTGATCTACACCTCATCCACTGCAGCCATTCGGTATGGACCACGTAAATTGTCCAAGTATGACGAAAGCTCTTGAAGTGATGTAGATTTTATCATGAGGACCAAGATGACTGGATGGGTTAGAATCTCATTCCCTTCTTACCATTTCTACTCAGAGAGATGTTGCATAGAACTCTTAAAGTTTGAATCCTGTTGAGCTCCAAATTTGTTCTAGGTGGCTCCATGCAATAGCACACATATTGGGTATTTTGTGATCATGGATCAATAGTGAAACTGGTCATCTAATTTGGTAAAAGGGTTGAAAGTGAGGCAGCCAAAGGTGAAAATTTGAAGTGCTTTTATGAAGGAGTTGCATGGCAAACTATGTTAAGGCACAACCTTATGCTTGAGCTTCAGTTGGGGATAAAATTGGCATCATCCAAAGCCCATTGGGATGCACAGCCCATTTGCAATCCTAATGAAACCAGTACTCCTGGTATGACATTGGATGTCTGTAAGTCTGTTTGATGAGTCCACTGTCAAGTCGTACGGATCTCTGAGGCCTCTTGCACTTAACTCTGTCATGGGATTCTGGATGTCTTTCATGTCTCAAAGAACTAGGCTTAAGTCATCTAGGAAGAGTGAGGCTCACCAGAGCCCAGAACCCATTCCTTCAAGACTATTTCCAAAAGTTTAAAATTCTCACATTTTGAGATGCTTACTTTCATAGCTAATTTGATGGGGCTACTCTTAAGGCCCATACTTCACAGAAAATGTTGGAGATAAAATTTCTTATTTAAAATTTAGGCCTGTGAAGTTGTGATTCTTAACTTCAGCGTATGATGCTTGTGTTATCTTGTTTGTGTTTAGATGTATTTTGTCTCCAAAACTTTGGCAGAAAAGGCAGCATGGGAATTTGCAGAGGAGAATAATATAGATCTAATTAGTGTTATACCACCACTCGTGGTTGGGCCATTTCTCGGGCCATCTATGCCTCTGAGCATTACAATGGCATTTGCTTTGATCACTGGTATGGACCATCATTATCATCATCATCATCATCATCATCATCATCATCTCTCATTTAATGACTTTAAGTTATTATATCATATTTTTTTTGCAGGAATTGAATATTACTATTCAATTATGAAGCAATGTAATTTTGTGCACTTAGATGGCCTTTGCAATGCTCATATATTTTTGTTTTAGTACCCTGAAGCAAAGGGAAGGTACATTTGCTGGTCCCATAGTGCTACTATCATTAGCCTTGCAAAAATGCTAAAAGAGAAATTTCCAGAGTATGATATTCCAACCAAGCCCCGTTTTTCATTTCTTCTTGGTCATGGCATAGATATAGTTTTAGAAAATATGCTGATAAAAAAAATGGTTTTAGAAAAATCTATAAAATTTCAAATGCCATGCATGCTTAATGAGTTGCCTTGCCTTTTTCTTTCATGTTTGATATGAACATGAGTACCAAACTTCAAGTTATTGCATCATCATAGCCTCCAAAGTTTTCTTTTCATCTACCCTGTTTCCAATCAAGTAATATTGATGATCTAACATAGCAACCATTCACAGGTTTGAGGGTGTGAATGAAACCTTGGAAACCGTCTCTTATACATCTGAAAAGCTTCTAGACTTGGTTTCAAGTTCAACTTAGAGGAAATGTACCTCGGGGCAATTGAATCAGCTTGGGAGAAGGGATTGATTCCCCAGTCCACACTATAAATCTTGTTAATTGGAAAGGCTAAAGGTGAGAGTAGAAATAAAAGAAGTCATTCAAACAAAGTTGGGAAGTGTTTTCTATTGTGATATGATATGATCTAACTGTTCTACATTGCATTCTTGCCTGTTGGATGCTCTGAATTGAATAAAACTACAAAACAAGTCAACTTAACAACTGGACAGAAAAGCAAATACAAAAGCGAAAGCAAATTAAAAGAGGTCAGTTTTCTTTTTACAATAAGAACATTAGCTCTAATAACAATGGAATGCATGAACTCATGGATAGAGTTGGAATGAAAGTAACAAAAAAACTGGAGGAGAACCTCTGAGGCATATCTAAAGACATCATCTTTAGAATGTTATTTGCCTTACTCAGTAAACTGAGTTTGTTATTGGGTTGTAGGCAAATTCATTCCTAAAATACTAGAGCTTTGGGTGAGAGACTGCGATCAACAAAGTTGAAGAACTTCCAAAGAAACCTTTTATGAGATAGTAGCAGTTTGGACTAAGAGAGGCAAGAATAGGGGTGAGCAAAAAGAACTGAAAAACCGAATCGATTGAAAAAACTGATCAAAACCTTATCAAAAATTTGGTTAACCAAACCGGTCAGTTCAGTTTCAGTTCAATATTTAAAATAAAAACCGAAGGTACCAATTCGGTTTTGGTTAACCAAAATGGAAAACTAATGGTTAACCAAACCGATCGGTATACATATATTTATATATATTTTGTATATTTATTTTATATATACATTATATTTTCTATACATTATTAATTAATAAATATGCATTATATATACATATATACTTATAATATATAATATATTATTTTTTATTTAAAATATAATATTATATGTATATTTCTAGTATTTTATTATATATTTATATATTTTTTATAATAAATATTGTAAATAATAAAAAACCGTCAAATCGTCAACTTGGAAAACGATGGCCAAAACAATTTCATTTTTGGGTCATTTTTTAAAAAACATGCCTGAAACTGTCATCCATATGGAATTAATTGCTTTGTAGATTGAAGCTAATAAGGTTGATACCTTCACCATTTCCTCTTTGTTCTCTTAGTCATCTTTCATATGGTCTCATTTCTTTAAAGAAGGGAGTTAGATATTTTGCTCATTTTCCCTTTTTGTCTTTCTAATTGGGTGGTTAAATTTGTTTTTCAATTTTAGTCTTATTTTTAAAGCCTCGTTTATTTTCTATGAAACCATTTACCTACTTGTGTTTTGATTCTCAAGTACGTTATATAACAATACATTTTTATCCATAAAAAGCCATTATTAAAATGGATAAATGTTTTCTATCATGTTTCGTCACTTTTCCCACCACGTAAGAAAATTATTTATGCACTCGGTAGATGGGTATCACTTATCCTTCTTTTTTTGGATTTTGAGAGGGGGGACAGTTGGTCAATGGGATTTTGATTCCCATTGACCAACAAACTCATGTTCTTTTTCCATATTTATATGGGGACCAAGGAAAGTTTATTTTCCTAGGTATCACTTACCCGAACACCCGGGTAAGTGATACCCATCTCCTAGGGGGCTGTTTGGCATCGTTTCCATTTCTTGGAGCAACGGCGCCACATTGGAAAAAACGGTGTTCCAGGAAACGGGCATTTGCTTGGAACCATTTTTTCATAAAAAATGGTGCTCCAAGCCATGCCTCAAAAATCGAAAAGTCAGGCTTGGAGCAATGCCAAATTTGGCGTTTCTTAGAGCTGTAGCTAGTTGCTGCCAACATGACAGTGATGTGGCACTGGATAATGCGTATTTGTGCTGAAAACGTTTGTTGGAGCAATTGTACCAAACAGAAAAAGTTGTCATTGCTCCAGGAAACGTTATACCTGAGAAAACAGTATTGCAACTGCAGTATCGATGCCAAACATATACTAGGTAGATAAATAACTTTTCCACTCACTAGAAAGTTACCAACACTTGAATGAGATTAAAATGTCCCTTTTAATAATGAATTTTTATGACTAAAATGGTCATTGCCTTATTTACATGGGAAATAAAATAATATGGATAAATGCATTTATCTACATAAGTTTTTCCCAAAAAACACTTATATGGATAAGTGCATTTATCAGGGTAAATAATATTAGGAAAAAGCAGGACTTACAACCACTTTCCTGAATGGGAGTACACCCCAACATGCCCGGCCTCGAGAAACTAAAGTTGTGGCCTTCAAAAAAGTTCTTGGAAAAGTTCACAAATTTTCGTTAGTAACTCCTGTCAACTCTATTGAAACAAGCAAACGATGAAACAATCAAAAACCAACAACTTTCTCAGCCTAAAAGTGAATAATTAGACATTTGGACAAAATGGCAGAGTCATGGTTGAAACTTGCCCACGAACGTGAGGTGAAAGGGGGAAGCAGAGGCAACAGGATATCAGCTGAAAAATGAGCCCAACATCTATCGACGGTTTCAGCAGAGGGAGGGTATATGTCTTTTTCTCCTTTAATTGTTCTCAAATTTTTTTACAGTGCTATCACATAAGCGCCCCTGCTTCCTTTTTTCCTACTACGTAAAAAAGAATTCTCTAGTGACTATCAATATCACATGCATGTTTAAACATATCTAAAACCCCTTGCCATTTTATCATTTTAAGGAAAAATGATAGTCGCAAAAATATGGAAAATAAAAAAAAAATGTAGGAAACTATAGAAAATACAGGAAATACAACGAAAAATGAAAAGAAAAAAGAGAAAAATAAAACAATAAAATACAGAAAACACTGGAAATTGTAAAAAAAAAAAAAATACAACAAAAAATTGTAAGCAACGAAAAAGGGGGAAGCACGGAAAGATAGAAAAAATACAAAAGAATACATAAATTCAAATGATCATTCTCGTAATTTTATTTTTTACTCTCTAACCCCATTAATGGGGCAGGGAGCGAAATGCTGGAATTTAAAAGTTACAGGGTAAGTTTTTGGCACAGATTAAAGTTGGGACTTGAGAGTTGGGAGAGCTAATTGTGGCTACCCTCGAAGTACAGGTGAAGTCTGGATTTATCAATTTACCTTTTTCTTTCTTTACCTATTATTTTTACTTTATAAAGAGCTTCTCTGCTGGGCTTCTCCCTCCCTGGTCCTTTCAACTAGCATGGAGTCCGAAACAACAGTATGTGTGACAGGCGCAGCTGGTTACATCGGGTCATGGCTTGTTATGAGGCTTCTCGWGCGGGGCTACGTCGTTAAGGCCACTGTGCGCGATCCAGGTACTGATCTCTAGCCCCTAATAACCTTTCTACGATTTCATCTTTGTTAACTGATTTCTCACTGATCAAACGAGGACTCGTTRTTTCGGGTTCTTGTCGTTGCAGACAACTTAGAAAAGGTGAAGCATCTATTAGAYTTACCAAAGGCTAAGACCCACCTGACGCTGTGGAAGGCCGACMTTGTCGAAGAGGGAAGCTTTGATGAAGTCATACAAGGATGCACGGGTGTCTTCCATGTCGCTACCCCCGTGGCTTTTTCATCCAAGGACCCGGAGGTGAGTGACAGACTCCATTACCTTCTTAACTTTTCTGAAACCTGTAAAATACTTGCAACGAGTCCAGAGATTGAAACTTCTAGCTAGAGACATTCCACCAAAAAATCCCAGATCAGATGACAAGTCACTGATCATGGGTTCTATTGATGATTTTCTTCTCTTCTTACTTTGTTAACATAACCATCAAAGTTCAATGATTCTTGTAGAAGGAACCAGGTAGTTGTTATGTTTGTGTTATGCTTCTGTACTTCTTTTTTGGGGTTCCCGGCGATCGGTAGACAAAAACAAAGATAAACCGAAAAAGGGTAAGAAGGAAGCTTCTCTAATTTTCTTCTTCAAAATAACCACTTCATCATCAATAGGAAGTATTTATATTTACGCCGGAAACAACTAGAGTTTCGAAGGCCCATGAACAGATTGCAGCAAACTAACATGCCACCAGTAAAATCTCGTTCGCTAGTGAGAATGGAATGAGGGAAGGAATTAGCCTGACAAATGGGGGGAGAACCAGTTGCTCAGTTTATCTTAAGAAAAGTTGTCGGTAGCTGGGGTTAGTCTCAACTCTTTCTCAAGGAGAAAAAGAGAGGAGTTGCCACGGCTATCAGTCCATCTGTGACACAAAAGAGAAGGGGTACTGAGGTAGTTGCGGCCATGGCTATCAGTAGATCTGTCATAACCCCCACGCCAAACATAAAATGCATGCGGCCCACAACTCTCTTAGTTTAATTTTCTTTCATATAAAGTGGGAACCGCATCATCTTGCTTCCTACCTACCTTCACTCAACAAATAACCCTCTTTCTACTTCAATATTCTCTCTAGACAACAAAAAGTCTGAAACAAAAGTAAACCACAATCTACAGATTCTACACTCAATCTATTTGCACTTCCATGTATTTACCAAGGTTTTATAAATCGGAGCGGACCGTTTTGGGACCGATTCTCAAGTCGAACAGTCTGATCGTCCGGTTCGAACGAATGAGACAGCCCATTCTGATTTAAAAAAAATAGAAAAACATAATTGAAATAAAAAATGGCCAAAAACCGCTATCGGATCGACGAGTCAATGGTTTGACTGTCCAGGTCAGCAGATTGTTAACTAAATCAACGGTTTTTGGCCCAGAAATGGCTTTAGGGTAAAACAGAACCGAATGCCTAATAAAATTCCTGGGTCAACCGATCCGATCGTCCAGTCTGGTCCAATTCTCAAAACCATAGTTTTACACCAGCCCAAATGAAATTGGGCACAACAAATAAACTGAGCCTTACCTATTCCAGAGATGGTGGGATTTGAAAACTCTACATTGAATAGAATAATGTTCTAGGTATATTCCAGAATCAGAAGAATTTGTAACTAATCCCTACTGTTTGCCAAAGAGGACTTTGTATCATTTTTCTTTCTTTTAGTTAGTTATCTTTGTTTCATCTACATTATTCCTCCACTAGTAACTATCCTATATGAAGTATGAAGTATATATCTACATCAGATTTTTGGCTTTGACAACTCTTGAACTTTGTGAAAAAATCAATTTTGACCTTAAAGAATTTAAAGGGTCATTTTGAATTTCAAACTAATTTGAAAAGGCTCAATAAACCCAAAAACAAACAGTGTTAGTAATCCTATTCAATTGGGTCCCATTGAATAAAATAAAAACTATTTGATGTATAAATTAAAAAAAGCTGAAAATAATACAAGTCCGACTTAAAATTTTCTCTTTCAAGAGAAAAATAATAGGTGGATCCCACTTGAAATTATAGGTGGGCCTCACTTCAAATTTCCTCATTAAAGAGAAAAGTAATAGGTATGTCCTACTTAAAATTCTCCATTTTAAGAGAAAATTAATAGATGGGTGCTACTTGAAATTATATGTGGATCCCACTTAAAGTTTTAAGGCCCTATCTTTTCTCTTTCAAGAGAAAAATAATAGGTGGATCCCACTTGAAATTATAGGTGGGCCTCACTTCAAATTTCCTCATTAAAGAGAAAAGTAATAGGTATGTCCTACTTAAAATTCTCCATTTTAAGAGAAAATTAATAGATGGGTGCTACTTGAAATTATATGTGGATCCCACTTAAAGTTTTAAGGCCCTATCTCTCTCTTTAGTCACATATCAAGGGTATCTTTGGTGACAAGGGCAACGGAATTTGTATGGACGAGAATGCCAAAAATTCTGATTGGCGTTCCTTTAGACATTGTACTGCATGCAAAAGAGCCAAAATTGGTATGTGTAGCCGACCACCTCTCAATATATAATGCACTCAGCCGTCGGCCAAGTAGTGACCAATAAAATGTCCGACTTGGTTTCAAACTAGTTAACAACTTTTCCATTTTAGACACCTATAAGGCTATAACAATAACACTTTCACCTGGAGTGGCCTCACGCTCCCCCTTCCGGAGCTTCTTAATCAGGGCCATGGGGTTCCTCTTCTGTCCTCACTGAAACCTTTTTCTAGCACAAGCATGTAAGAGCTTGACCATCTAGCCCATCAGTACCCATGCCAATAGGGTTGACACCCCAACCCATTTGATCCACCCAACTAACCCATTGCAAAACTCACCCATACCCATCCATTCTAATGGTGGATCAACATGGGTCAAGTGATCCATTAGGGTCAGGGATAAAGGGTCAGGGCGGGGTTGGTCGAGGGTTATCCATTGACCCTCAACTTTACTTGTTCGAAAATCAAAACATTCTATCTTCCACAACTTTCCTTCTTCACCTCTTTAGGGTTTTCTTCTCTGTTTATGACTGATGCAATCGTTAAAGCGAGGTTCAAAACCACCAAAGATTGCTCTCATTGCCACAGTTCCTTAAGGTCGCTAAAGTCGCTATTTCCTGCTCAATGTGTTGTTTCTCGCTCAAGTCGCTACAACTATTATTGCCGTCGCCATTCTCAACTCCCACAACAATGACATCGATCTGTTGAATCATTGCAGATCTCGCATCAGTGGCGAAATGAAGGTTCCCGAATGTTGTTTCCCCTGCCAACATTCCTTCTCCCCGAGCTTTGGATCAAAGATGTTGATGTTGTTTCGATAGGTTAATGTTGGCAGCGGAACGGAGGAGGAGATCAATGTCGACGATTGAATGAAGGAAAGAGGATAAACAAGGGCAAGTAGGGGTAGATGATGCCAGCGAGCGAGATGGGAACATCTGATCCAGAGGCACAAACACAACCATTTTTTTGTGATTTTCTTACTATTTTATCATTCTCTATAATTTTTCTATTTTTACCTGAAATATATATTTCAGGAGATTTTTGTTATCACTTTTTGTATTCATTTGTGATTATTGTTTTTAGTTGAAATATATAAATTTTTGAATTTTATTATTTAATTTATTATTCTGCAATTTCTGATTCATTGGATAAAAAAATATTTTTTATGAAAATTTTTATCATTTATAAGTTTTTAGTAATTTCTATCAATTTGTGCATTTTTCGCAATTTTTTGGCACTTTCTTGCAATATTTTTCTTACTTTGGGAATTTTATTGTAACTTTTTTTGTATTTTTTGGAATTTTCCTGCAATTTTTTGCATTTTCTTTAATTTTTTTAACAAATTTTCTTTAATATTGTTATTTAATTTTTTATTGTTTTCTATTTTTTTTGTAATTTCTGATGTTTTACAAGGAATATACTTTTTTCCATTTAATGTGTTTTTATGTATTTTTATTTTTATTTTGAAAAAATTGAATTTTTATGTTTTTGTAATCGAAATATATAATTGTATTTTTTATGTAATTAGAATAAAGAAAATGTAAAAAAAAAGGTCATAATTGAATTAGAGGGTCAAATTGGTAGGCTGTGATAGATCAGGGTCAAAGTGGGTTTTGATCCATTCTGACCCACTAGGAATGGCAATCGGGTGGGGCGCGGATGGGGAGCCTCTCCCATCCCCGTCCCTGTGAAAATCCCCATCCCCATCCCTACTAATAGGGACAAGGTTATCCCCATCCCCACCCCCATGGGGATTCCCATCCCCACAAGGATCCCCACTCCCCGTGATTTTTTTATAATGTAAATATTTTGTTTTTATTTTTTATTTTATTTAAAAAAATAAAAATAAAATAATTAAAATTTGCAACCATATTAGAAAAGATTCAAACATATTCAACCATATTATTTTTAAATATATTAATATATAGACGCATTATACACATATATAAATGTATGTGTACATATATATACATATATTAGCGGGGATCCCATAGGGTGGGGATCGGGGTCCCCATGATCCCCGTCAACGGGGACAAAAATTTCCCCATCCCCATCCCCACAGGGGGAAAATCGTCACCACCCCCACCCCATTCGAGGCAGATCCCCACGGGGATCGAGGAAATGGGGTTTAATGGATTTGTGAACGACATCATTAACATTGTCTGTTTTTGGGCACATAGTGGCCTTATAAACTTAGTTTAAGGTCTAAATTGGCCCTTAAAATTCTTTAGGGTCAAAATTGGCCTTCTCACAAAGTTTAGGTGTTGTCAGAGCCAAAAATCCTATATATATCTATATAGTATTTTCATGCTTTATGGTTTATTCTCAAATGCAATCATCTTTGTTTTTTTTTTTTGGTCTTTTGATTTTTTAATATTAAAATTGAACAAAATAATTCAATTGGCCAATTACCTTTATGAATTTTAACTCTCATTAACTCTCTTAGTCTCTCTCCCATTTCCCATTAATTCTTTTGATTATCTTTCCTCATTAATTATGTCATTAACTCTCTCCTTCAATAACTTATGCCAGTAATTCTCTCTCATCTCCGTTACTCTATTAAATTGCCTAAAGTTCATTAACTTTATCTATATCTATATGCATATCAATTTGACTATAAGTTTATATACATTAGATCTATTTATATTAAATGGTAATTATTAATAATGATTAATTATATTGAAATGGGGATATTCAATGACATTTTATTAGGCTAAAGAATCTACTTCCGATTGAAAGATAGTCAATTTTTAATTTAATTAATCAAGTAATTTGCATTTCAAAATATATACTGTTTACTTCACCGAACAAATAAATTGGTATTTTAAAAATTGTCTTAAAAGTTGAATAGTTTTCGCTTCTAGGTCACAAGTCAACAAATCTGTTCTTCGGGTAGGATGAGTCAAACCACAACACATCATCCATCTATATATGTAGAATATAAGGTCTATGTGTTTTTTTTTTTATAAATATAAGAGCCGAAATAGATCCACTTGTATATTGGGACTATAAAGATCGCGAAAAGTTATCAAAAATAAAAGAAAAGATTCATGGTTCAATTGCCATGATCCAAAATAAAGTCAAAATTTGAAATTTGAGGACAAAATGTCATAAAAATAATTTAATTAATCAAAAGGAATAGGATAAATTAAAAACTAATATCAATTTAAAATTAATTATAAAACTAATAAAAAATTATTTAACAATTAATTTTAAATATAGTTTAATTAATTGAAAATCAATTTAAGTTCCATTTAAAAATAGGGAAAATTATAAAAACCTACTTGGGTTTTCTAACAATTCTTTGAAACCCCCGTGTGTTTTGACCTTAACAAAAACTTCCCCTATTGTTTTGAAAACACGGTGCAAATACCTTCCATTTGTTAGAATTCCAAATAAAAAATGCTGATGTAATGCATTAATTTTTTTAAATACCAAATTAACCCTTAACCAACTTCATTTACATGTAAATTTACTAAAATACCTTGAAAAAAAAAGGATTTGCTTCCTTTTAATTCACTATAGCATTTACCTTACTTTGTCCAATAGTAGGGAGAATTATATTACTCTTTGAAAGTTGTTTACCAAAACAAATTAGTAAAAGGTAAATTTAAAACTTTGAATTGTGTATGATAAATTGATAATGCCTTAACAATGATAAAGGTATTTTGGTAACTCCATTTCTTTCTTATTGAAAAGCCAAGGGAAATGAGGCATTTGCACTTTTTTCAAAACTATAGGGAGGTCTTTGTCAGTGTCAAAACAAATAGGTGGTTTATAAAATGGTTATAAGATGAGATTTTTTATAATTTGGCCACTCTCACTAAAATGCAACTTATATTGTGATCAGATAAAATAGACATAACCCATAACATAATATTTGAATTTGACTTAGATGAGCATCACTTAATTGGAAACATCATTTTCAAAATCGGACCAGACCAGACGGTCGGACCGGAAAAACTGGGAACAGATCACTTGATCGGTTCCATTTTTCCCCAAAACCGTTGATTTTGGTCAGCAAACCGCTAAACCAGCTGGTTAACTGTTCGAACAGTTTTGACCATTTTTCAATTTTTTTAATTTTTTGTTTTTGTCAGAATGGGCCAATTGTTTAGATCAAACAATCAGGTAACCGAACCCCTGACTGGTTCAGTCGCCGGATTGGTTTTAAAAACCATGATTGGAAATGACATAGAGCTCTATTCTCAATTTTACTCATAAATAAAGCCTGTGCATCGCATGGGTCCTAACTAGTGCATTGATAGAGTGCAATATTCTCTTTTATCATAGTCTATTTTGTACTCCTTTCTGTCAAATGCTTCCATTCTCCCATAGGTCCAGCTCATGCTCCTTTTGCTTAAAAAGCGTCATTACTTATTATTAATGAGAAATTCTAGCTAGAAATAATAGGTATAGGAGCTTGTGGTTATCCAACTATATGATCCCATTCAAAATATACCTTCAACCAAGGGAGGCTAAATCATTTCGATCAGACTTTCCCTTTAGATCAGTCAAATAAAAAAAATGTTCAAAGGTATAGTAATCAACCCCAATTTAGTTTCAGCAATTAAGGAGCTTATAACGTCCTTATTAACTTACTAAAACATAAGAATTTAGTCATTTAATTCAGCCTTTTCAGCTGATATCAAACGGCCCTAATGTAGGTACCATAGAGAGAGAGAGAGATGCCTTAGTTGACATAAAAATTACAAACCTTATCTTTTCAAGCTTTTGTTGTCCTTGAATGGTTGAATAAAGGACAATGGTACCTCACCACAAACACCCTCCTCCAAGTAATGTGGTTATTTCCTCATTTAGATTGCATCTTTACATAGCTCGAGTCCTGATAAGCTGTGTTGGTGTCTGTTTAACCAATAATAACGCCCTGCAACAGCCATCAAGTGTATACACCTCACGAGGACCTCAACACCCTTCTCACGTCTGTGTGCATGGATATCTTGAGGCGTTATTTATTTATTTTTTTTTTTATCAACAACCCTTAACACAGCCAAATCAAGTGCAGCTCATCCCGTCTGCAAACCCGTGCCTTGGTCCCAAATGGGTTCTTGAGCATGGGCCTAACTTCAAAAGAAAAGAAAAGAGAGATGGAAACAGGATAAGGCCGAAGTGGGCCTCAATAGTTGGCTGGGTTTAGAGTGCCTCCAAGGCCCATTTTGAAAATTAATGTTTACAATGTTCTTTTTCTTTGCAGAATGAAATGATAAAGTCAACTGTTAATGGGGTGCTGAACATTATGAGATCATGTGTCAAGGCGAAAACGGTTAAGAGGCTGATCTACACCTCATCCACTGCAGCCGTTCGATATGGACCACGTAATTTGTCCAAGTATGACGAAAGCTCTTGGAGTGATGTAGATTATATCAGGAGGACCAAGATGCCATTATGGGTTAGAATCTCATTCCCTTCTTACCATTTCTATTCTGAGAGATGTTGCATAGAACCCTTGGCCAAGCAAAAGTATTTGTACTAGAGCTCTTAAAGGTTGAATCCTGTTGAGCTCCAAATTTTTTCTAGGTGGCTCCATGCAATAGCACACAGATTGGGTATCTTGTGATCAAGGATCAATAGTGAGATTGCTCTTCTAATTTTCACAAAAGCTCTGTTTGTTTCGAGGTAAAAGGGTTGAAAGTAAAGCTGCAAAAGGTGAAAATTTGAACCATTTTTATGAAGGAATTGCATGGCAAACCATGTAAAAGGCCCAACCTTATGTTTGATCTTCAGTTGGGGATAAAATTGACATCATCCAAAGCCCATTGAGATGCACAACCCATTTGTAATCCTAATGAAACCAGTACTCCTTGTGTGGCACTGGATGTCTATAACAGTCTGATGAGTTTCACTGTTAAGCCATACAGATCTCTGAAGCCTCTTGCACTTAGCTCTGTCATGGCCCATGGGATTCTGGATGTCTTTCATGTCTCAAAGAACTAGGCTCTCAAGTCATCTAGGAAGACTGGAGGCTCACCAGATCTCAGAACCCAATCCTTCGAGACTATTTCCAAAAGTTTAAAATCCTCAAATTTTGAGATGCTTACTTTCATAGCTAATTTGATGGGGCTCCTATTCTAATTACTCTTAAGGCCCATCATAGCAAATGTTGGAGCTAAAATCTCTTATTTGAAACGTAGGCATGTGAAGTTGCGATTCTTAACTTCAACGTTATGATGCTTGTGTTATCATGTTTGTGTTCAGATGCATTTTGTCTCCAAAACTTTGGCAGAAAAGGCAGCATGGGAATTTGCAGAAAAGAATAATATAGATCTAATTAGTGTTATACCATCACTCGTGGTTGGGCCATTTCTAGGGCCATCTATGCCTACAAGTATGACAATGGCATTTGCTTTGATCACTGGTATGGCCCATCACCATCACCACCATCATCATCTCTCATTTATTGACTTTAATCTGTTATATCATATTTCTTTGCAGGAAATGAATATTATTATCCAATTATGAAGCAATGTAATTTTGTGCACTTGGATGACCTTTGCAATGCTCATATATTTTTGTTTGAGCACTCTGAAGCAAAGGGAAGATACATTTGCTGGTCTCATAGTGCTACTATCATTAGCCTTTCAAAAATGCTAAAAGAGAAATTTCCAGAGTATGATATTCCAACCAAGTAAGCCCCTTTCTTGATTTCTTCTTGTTCATGCAATAGATTTAGTTTTAGAAAATCTTTAAAATTTCTAATTAATGCTATGCATCCTTAATGAATTGCCTTGCCTAGTTCTTTCGTGTTTGATATGAACATCAGTACCGAACTTCAAGTTGGTTGGATCATCATAGCTTTCAAAGATGATAATCTAACATAGCAGCCATTCACAGGTTTGAGGGTGTGAATGAAACCCTTGATACAGTCTGTTATACATCTCAAAAGCTTCTAGACTTGGGTTTCAAGTTCAAGTACAACTTAGAGGAAATGTACCTCGGTGCAATTGAATCAGCTAGGGAGAAGGGATTGATTCCTCAGTCCACACTATAAATTTTGTCAATTGGAAAGGCTAAAGGTGACATTAATAGAAATAAAAGAAGCCATACAGACAATGTTGAGAAGTGTTTTCAATTGTGATATGATATGATCTAAATGTTCTTCATTTCATTCTTGTGTGTTGGATTTTCTGATGAATTGAGTAAAACTAGAAAAAAAGTTTTCAATTTTCAAATGGACACAAAGAAAATACAAAAGCGAAAGTAAATTAAAAGAGCTCAGTTTTAATTCTTTTTACCATCAGCTCCTACATTTCATTCATTTGTTTTGCAGGAAGATTTTGATAGAATAGGATTCCATGGGAAAATGGGAAAATAAGAAGAACATCAACCCCAACAAAAATGGAATGTATATGAGCACCTAGATTAGTCATTGGGCGGCAGTGACACTCTATTTGGCTTTGCTAAAAAGAAAGTTGCATTTGATTCCACCATAAGTTCATAACCATGAGCTTAAACAGATAAATGGGGACTTTTGAAGCTAATCAAGGAATGAACCTGCAACAAAACATTTTTTTTTATTTAGATTCTTAACTCATATCAACTATGGTGGTATTTGGTTTCACTTCCGTTTTCTGAGAAGACGGAGTCCAAGCCACATCAGATTTTGCCATTTTGGGAAAACAGAAAAATAAAATACATTGGCACATGGTGTTTGGTTAGACATCTTCTCAAAAAACGGCAAAAAAGCGTTTAGCCATTTTCTCAAAAAATGGTCCATCTCAAAAAACGTCACTTTGACTTTTTTTTTTCTTTTTTTTTTTCAAAATGTTTTCTGGTATGATGAGTGACATGGTTCTTATGGGTTATCATTTTCTTGGAAGGCCGCAATGGAACCAAACAGCACCATTTATAAACATTTTTTTTCCAAAATCACAAAAATATAATACCATTTTAGAACCAAACGACTCCTATAACAATAGTGCTCGCATTTTAATTGACCCTACTCAAACTACATAAACCCCTAGAGATGCTCATAGAGCAGTGGAATTGTCTAAATTGGAAAAACATTACATCAGAGCGATTGTGGGAATGCCACGTTAATATGAGTGTGGGTAAATTAGTAATTGCCCCCTATTTTATTTTGATCAAAAAGAAAGACATAGGCATGAATACGTGAACGTGCCCAGTCCAAAACCGCTCTCAACAGCCTATGCTGTTGGCCCCCAACAACTAAGGGTGCAAGTCAGCCGGCTTGGGCCAGGCCCAGGCTCGAGCCCGAGGTAAAGCTTGACCTTCCCAACCCAAGCCTAGCCCACAGTGTAATTTGATGTACTTGGGTTGGGTTCGGGCCCAGGCTGAGTTTGGATTGGTTAATTAACCTACTCTAAAGTTATACATACATACATACATATATACATACATACATATATGCAAAATTTACATATATATGTCAATGTGTATAGTTGAGTCAAGCTCGGGTAAGGTTTGGATTACCTAAGTGCTAAGCCCAGTCAACCCAAAAAATAAAAAAGCCAAACTTCTTAGGCCCAAGCCCAATTCAAAGACTGAATATCCAAGCCCAGTCTATGCAAAATTTCAACTAAGCTGGTTCAGGTTCAAGCTGGGCCTGCCCAAGTTGCACCCCTGCCACCAGCCAAAGTTATCCTGTCTAAATTATAGGATTTTGCACATAAACCACAGGCGTGCACATAAACTACTTTTCTGCACTCTATTAATCCACATCAGTCTAGTGAGATCTATTTTCCAAGTGATGGTTGTTTGGCTTCTAGAGGCCTCAATTTCTCAATGGTAATGAAAAGGTTATATTAAGCAATGTTTTAAAATATGACCTAGAAATGGAACCGTTTTTCCTTCCGGGTTATGATTCAGCGGTTTGACTGTCTGGATTAAATAGATTAACTCATGATGATTAAATGTAAATAAAATAAATAAAAGCACAACAGGTTTTTTCTTCTTATAGGCTTATATAATAATTTATATGTATCACACCGAAAAAAAGTACAATTTATTTGAATTTACGAACGAGTTGAAAATAATCAAATGAATAATTCATTTATTCAATACATGGCACAACAGTTATCCTAAAGATACAATAGTTTAAAGAGTTGTTCATATGATCTTGAATAAAATAAATAAATGGGATAAGTAAATTGCATTCTACCTTAGAATTCTGAATTCAACTACAGACCTACAACAATTTAAAATATCAAATACCTCCACCCTAAACACCAATACGGGCTTGTGTATTGGCATCAATTCTGAGCTACCACCTACCCCAACTGTATCTGGAGTTAAGAATTCTAAGGGTGGACTGAACAGTAAAAAACCGATAAATAAATCCTTTACATTAGTTAAAAAATTATAAAATGAATTATGGGTCTTATCAAATTTTAAGACTTGATATTTTTCACCTTTATACTTTTTGTCAGTTGTCAGTTCATTCTTTGATGATGAGAGAGAAAAAAGTTTGGGTTCAGCCTAGGGTCAGAATTTTTAGGCCCAAATAGGGGTGGCAACGAGCTGAGCTCGAGCCCAATCCAGTGGCTCGAGCCTACTAGCGCTAGGCTCGTGAAGCTCACGAGCCGGTTCGAATATATATAGATATAGATATAGATCATAAAATTATACAAAATAATATATATATAATAAAATTATTATAATTCTTAATTATTATAATTCTTAATTTTTTAAATATAAAATAAAAAAATTATATATAATTTTTATTTTTATAGAATATTTTTTTCTCAAAATCGAGCTCGAGCTCAAGGTTCTGGCTCGAACTGATCTTGAGCCTTATAGAACAGTCTCGAGCTGAGCTCGAGCCTGGTACTATTCGGCTCGGCTCGGCTTGAATCCACCCCTAGGCCCAAAGTACAGTTGGGGTAGGTGCCAGCTCGGAATTGATGCCAATTCGCGGGCAGGCATTGGTGTATAGAGTGGGGGTTTTTGACATTTTAAATGTTTATAGATCTGCAGTAGAATTCAGAAATCTGCATTGAGTCTGTCCGTACTTTTTCGAATAGATTTTCTGTATGCATTCTTGGATACGGAGATCTCCTTTCGGCAGTCATTCAGATAAGCAAATCAGGCGGTGGACTAGTTAGCATGAAAAACAAAGAAGTTTTAGTGTATCAACATATTATTTTTAACCCACAAACTGTTATCCAAGTTGAGGCCATGTCAATGGTTTATTGACTTTTTCAACGATTTTTGTTATAACACCAGGTTAGGAGCGAGGTAAATAGAAGTGGATTGATGACCGATTTTTCGGATTGAACAGTTTAACCCTTCATATCAACGGTGGTTTAAAAACATTGATATTAAGTAGAGGTGAGCATTATTTGGTTAAAAAGCGAAAAACAAAACCAAAAATTTTGGTTTTAATTTTATTAACATAAAAACCAAATTTACTAATTTTGTTACATATACAATATAATATATATTATTAAGATTTAATATTAATAATATAATATTATACATATACAATATTATAATGAATACAATTCCCATGTAACGGATTTGATTAATTCTATTTAATTTTTAACCAAAGCTCAACCTAATATTAAGTCAATTATATTATAGAAATTTGTAATGGCAAGGTTTGGATTTATTACAACTTTTATAGAAAGAAAAAAATAAACAAAATTTTTAATTTTAGGAACAAAGTGGATGGCCGTTTGAGAGTAAGAGAGCAGTCTATAACATTTTGATTGGACTTTCATTTTTATAACCACTCCATTTTAAATTTAAATATCTGCAATCAATGTCTTGAAAACTATACCGGATGATCGGACTAGAAAAACCGAGAACTGATCACCTCACTGTTTTCATTTAACCATAAAACTGCTTTTTGATAAAAAGTCGTTGATTTGGTCAGCAAATCGCTGATCCGAGCAATCAGACCATCAAACCATTTGATTCATAAATGATTTTTGGCTGTTTTTGGGTTCTTTAATATTTTTTTTTCTGTTAAAACGGGCTGTTCATTTGGACCAGATGACCAGACCGTTCGACCTGAACCGAACTCAGAAAAACCTTGCCCGCAATGACTGACATGACTATGAGTATAAATAGACCCATTATCGACACGTGAGAATTGTTGCATGTTGATGTTGATGTTGATAAGTTCTTAATGGCTTAACGTTGATAAGTTCATAATGGCTTAGAGGAGCAAGGAGAGGCATGTTGATGTTGACTCTGTTAAGCGAAAGTTAAACAATAGTTTTATATTTTTAACTTTTAGGCTAGCAGGGACCAACAGATGCATGGGCTCTGTTAAGAGAAAGTTAAACGATAGTTTTATATTTTTAACTTTTTAATAATGAATCTGATCAAACTCAACCCAAGTTGGTCAATTTCCTAGTATTTCTGATCAGTTTTGGTTTAGCAATTTTTCAACCCAACCAAGTTAAGTTAGTATCGGTTTGATCATTTGTAAACCGACCTAACCATAGATATATATATTTTATATTTTAAATATAAATTTTTAATATGGGAAAGTGGGAAGATTTCCATATTTCTTAGTAAAAAATATTTTGTATCATAAATTTAGTTTTTAATAATACCTCTATAATTTATTAGATTTAAATTTACTATTTAGGTTTAAATCTTTTGAACAAATAAACCAAACTGAAAATAGACCCAAATTGATATAACCCTAGTTGGTGGGTTTTCACTATTTGTCATTTGGCTTCGAGTGACAAACTCCTAACCTGACTAGGCCGATTTGGTTGGCAAAACAACCTATAACCGAATTGAACCAATCCTTGAACATCGTAATTTCAGCAAAATTGATTGTCTACTATCTAATAAATAACAATAGTTTAATCTCCAATAATTATTGAAAATTTATATAAAAATACAAAATTATTGAAACTAATTTATAATGAAACTACAATAGATATCTAATAAAAATACAATAACTACCGGAAATATATTAAATTAGTTAATAAATAGTGTATTCTCAAATAAAAATTTAATCTTTAATAAATATTTATCAATAAATTATAAAAGTACATAACTAATAAAAAT